GAACACTATGTAGGAAATGCTGAACTTGCTAAATTACTACCTGAAAAATAACCTAAGTGAATTCTTGCAAACCATCAAGGCTTCAAAACTCATAAAATTTTCAAAATTGTATGAAATTGATACTCGTTTCATATTCATAAATAGTTTTGTATGCATAGAAAAGAGCTAAGACATTTTTAGATGTGAAAACTTTGTCTTGGGAATAAGGTAAGTTTTCTTTAAAAAAACCTTCCCCAGAAAGTTATCTACACATTGAAGTTATCTGCGAAGCTTCAAAACTACTGATATCTGTGTTCTACCACTAGAATTGTATTCAGTTTCATTGGTCTGGGCTTGTAGTCAGGGACCTAGAGATTCACAAATATCTCCAGGGGAGTCTAAAATGAAGACATTTTGGGGAACCACTGCTGCTATGAAGAATCTCTTTTTGACCTAGTTTATTCTCTGCCCCTTAACTATAGTATTTAAAAGTCATTTCCTCCTGCTTTTAATGAAGAACCATTATTTGCATAGTGAACAGGTTATATTTATTCATCAAGTCTTTGTTGAGTGCCTACTAAGTGCCTAGCATTCATTGCTTTATCATTGTATTAGCATGTCTATATCACTAATTTTCAGTACAAATCAATAGTTACATGGAAATCTACTTTTAGAAGGTAAGTGGATACTTAACATTAACAAGTTATATTATTAATAAAATATCCAACATAAATTATTTATAACATCGTTAACTGGTTTAGTCTATGAAAATATTTAAGAGTCTTTAGACAAGATATAAAATGTTGTTAGCTACTCAGTTGGTGTTGGAGTCAGTACCACTTGTGATTTTTTTAGACATTGGTCTTACATAGTAGCAATGCTGGTAAATCATATACCCTTTAAGAGCCATGAAATTTCCATGCAGGAACTAACATGTCTTCAAGAATGATACAATTATGTTATAATCAATGAAATCAACAAATATTTATTGAGCACATGCCCAACACTGTTCTAGCCACTAGGGATATACTAGTAACATAAGAAATCCCTACACTTATAACATTGAAATTGTAGTGGAGAGAGACTGGTGATAACAGGAAATAAATAAATCCCGTAGAGATGGAGATAGATGGCAGATATATATTGATAGATGATAGATAGATATAGATAGATGATAGAAAGATGTAATAGTTTAGCAGATAAACACTCTGAAGAAAAGTAAAGTAGATGCCAGCCCATGGCCTAGTAGTTAATGGAGCTGGATCCCACATGGCTGATCATGGTTTGAGTTCTGACCCCTATAGCTTGGAAAATATGTGGAGCACATGGATGTGCGTGTCCAACGTCCTTACAAGATGGACAAATAAAAGAGAAGGGATTTCGGCATAACCATGCTTTTAGGGTGCCTTCTCCCTCTCTCTGCTGAGTGCATTGCCCTCTGGCAGCTAAAAATAAATACATAATGTAGGGTAAGGAGTTAGGGAATTCTAGAATGCCAAGTGGGGAGGGGTAGTGGTTGATAGGACAGTCAAAGACTTCTCGAAGGGGAGGACCTTTCATTCATCTCAGTGAAGGGAAGGAGGAAGCCAGGGGAAGATCTGCAACTAGAGTAGCCCAGGCTGTGGGGACAGCCAGAGTAAAGGTGAAAAAGGAGCACACGGTTGATACATTTGAGAAGCAGCAGCTCAACGATTGAAGCATAGTGATAGTGTGATAGGGGAGGTCAAAGAGAAAGGCAAGTGGGATTTTTGTTTGTTTTGATTTTTTCTAAGTGTTCTAGAAAGCCTTTGCAGGCTTCTCCTGGGAAGTGACATGACCTAATTTTAGCTGCTGTGTAAAGATAAGTAGAAACCCTATTCAATGTAAAGAGAAAGCAAGAAGACAGTTGGACAGCCGTAGCAGTGGTCCAGGCTGGACACAGCAGAGCAGAGCAGCAGCAGGTGGGATGGTTAGCGCATGGTGCCGAAGGCACATTGGTGCCATCATAAGAAAGGCTCTGCTGATGCAGTTTTCCTCTTAGGACACCTAACATACCCATTCAGATGGGCAATCAAGGTTAGAAGTCAGAATTCCAGGTGAAAGCTAAAATAAAGCAATAGTTAATGATCTTTATATGAAAATTATTTCCTATGTGACAGAAAAAAAATGTGTTTTGTATAGAGCTACCTTTTTTGTTTTAATAGGAAAAAAAATAGTATTTTTAAGAACATTGGAAACCTGAATTGTCTAGTTTTGGCTTTATCCTCAGGCTTTGTCTTACAATCTGAAGGAACCAGAATCACCAAAATGATAGCTTTCAATAAAGCTACTTGAATGAAATTGTGAACAGAATAGCAATTTAAGGTTACCATTGTAATGAATAATGTGACCAGAACTTAAGTTTGGAACAATGAGCATTCTTCTCTCCACAACTGCTTACCATTGTGTCTGGATCAGCCATTTTTCCACCTGTAGGTGGAGGTGAAGGGGCTCCTTCTCCTCCTCTCTCCCCTGACTATTCCAGTTCATCCTCCCTATACACTTTCTAGGCTGATCGGCATCACTGAAGCACCTACTGCAGACGTGTGTTAGTTATGGAGTAGCACTGCCATTATTATAAGTTGCAGGTGCACATAGAAATGAAGAACACAGAGTTTGGAGCTACAGGGCATTGGGTTTGAATTTTGTTCACTGATTATGAGTTGAGTGATTTAAGGCATCAGATTTAATTTTTCTGAGCCTCCTGGTAGATATAATATGACCTATTCCTAACCTCAAGTGAGGTTAACTGAGATTAGGAATATAAAGCACTTGGGAAAGTACCAGAGTATAGTAAATGCTTAATAAAGGATAGCAGTTATGATTACAATTTAATTTTCCTTTGTACATTTTCATTCAATAGTTTTATTTTTTTTTCTTTTATGAGATAGACGGGGAGAGAAAGGGAAAGGGCAATGAAGAAGGACAGAGTAGGTATTTTTGACAGGGTCTTTCTGTGTTGGGATCCTCCTGTCCCAGTTTCCCAAATAGCTCAGATTACAAGTGTGTACAACCATACCATTTGCCTTGGGGCCTGAGCCCATGCCTTCCCTGTGGCTTCCAGCTTCCCAAGTGGTGGCGATACCTTTGTACCACTGTGGCTATATCTTAATAGTTTTAATACTTAAAATACTTTAAAATATTGCTTTAAGAGTGAAGGTACTCAAGTCAGACTGCCTTGACTTGAATCACAGGATTACCATATGTAAGCTTTGTGATCTTAGAAACTTTCTGGACCTCTCTCTGTTACTTTACCCAAAAATTGATTAATAAAAAAAAAAAAAAACTCTATTAGATTATAATGAGGATTAAAGAGCCTCATGTATATAAAGAATATATGAAGGTACAGTACACATTTAATACTATTTTTAAAATAATATTCTCTCAATATCTCCAAAGTTATAATTAAAAAAATAAAAATTATGCCTAACTTTTCTATGTTGTTACATAAATTCTATAAGTTTGTGTAATCTGAATCAGGAAATTATTTAAAATGTGCTGTGCCCAGCATGATTAGCACACTCTGTAGCATACTGGACTGCTGTACTGAAAGCCACCTGTGGGTGGCTTCGGATCCCTGGGTCTACCTGAAAACACAATGGGTGTGCACTCAGGCACCCAAGATTGTGAGATGCTAGAGGACTAGGGAAGGGGGATTGTTGTGTGATGTGACCCTGTCAAGGGTGTCCCTCTCTCTTTTTTTCTCTCACTCTTTCTTGCATGGGGACACATGCACCATAATTTTTAAAAAGTATAAATAAATAAATAAATAAATAAATAAAAGAGTAGTTGATTTAGTCAAGTTATAAATGAAGGACAGGCTTATATATTGTCTGCTTAATTGATCAACGAAGGTAAGCATGTTGATTTATTCAGGATTCCAAAATGAAATTCATTTACTTAGGTAACCTCCCTGAGAAAGAGCAAAATAACCAGATAATTGTCAAATCTGTTTTCTTTTGAGTGTTTACCTTTTTTCCCTGACTTTTCTGTTTTCCCTCCTTAATTTTTCTATTTTCATTTCTTTTGATTTGTGTTATTTCTAAAATTATTCTTTTCAATTCCTTATGATAAAAATTTAATACTAGTGATAAGCAAAACTTCTCATAAAAAATTAAACAGTTGGGGGGACCAGCAAGTGGTGTAATGGTTAAGTTGCTGGACTCCCATGTAGTAGACCGTGGTTTGTGTCCCAGATCCAATGGCTTAAAACTCTGGGAGCGTGTGCTTGTGTGCCCAAAATCCTGAGAGGAGGATGAGGGAGAAAGGATTGCAACATGATCGTCCCTTCATGGGGGGAGTGATTTCTCACTTTCTGTCTCTCTCTCTCTGGTGAGGGTACACACCATATAGCAAATAAACAAAAATACAAAAACAAACGAAAACAAAATCTCTCTAAAAAGAATTGAATATGTGGGCTGGTAGGTGGCAAGGAAGTAAAGGCGCTATACCTCACATGACCAACAGTGCAGTTCGTGTCCCAGACACAGCAGCTTGAAAATCACACTGGGTGCATATGTGTGTGTACCCAAACTTGTGAGAGGAAACTAGAGGAAAAGGCAGTAGTGTGACCATCTGCCCTGAGAGTGATTTCTCACTTTGTTTCTCTTTATTTCTCTCTGTTTCTTTATGGTGAGTGCACCTGCCCTATAGCAAAACTAAAAATCAAACAAATGGTTAAATACAAAAATTTTAAAAACAGCTTTATAAAGGAAATTTAATAATTATTTTTTAAATGAATCTTGTAGGTTTTTCTCCTATTAACCCTAGATATTATTCCCAATACTGTTATCCCCAGTACTATTCCCAATTGGGTAGTCTTTGCAAATAATTGATTATCCAAGAGCAAAAGTTATGATGCTGATGCAAAAGAGATTTTTAATTGTTTATTAATCAATGCTAATAACATCACATTCGATATTGGCACCAATCCATCAATGATACAAAGCTCATTATTTGAACTTTACCAAGTTATGTTAGTGGGGCTTTTTTTTATTTTATAGCTGGCTTAAGTCCTGCTGAGATCCAGCAGTTATGGAAAGAAGTGACTGGAGTTCACAGTATGGAAGACAATGGCATTAAACATGGAGGGCTAGACCTCACTACTAACAATTCCTCCTCGACTACCTCCTCCACCACTTCCAAAGCATCACCACCAATAACTCATCATTCCATAGTGAATGGACAGTCTTCAGTTCTAAATGCAAGGCGAGACAGGTAAATCTCATGCGCTTGCTTCCATCATTATCTACCACCAGATGTTATATTCACGACGGAGAAAACAAAAAAATACTAATTTGTACTTAGAACAAAATATTAAATAGAAATCTTTAGATTATTTATATCATACATATTGTTTCATTATCAAAAAAGCAGTTCAAACATCAACAGTTGGATGGATAGAGTTGGGGAGTTTGCCTAAAGTTTATTTATGTGTAAGTGCATGTGGATAACTGTGTCAATATGTTTTATGAGTAAACTCTTGTGATTTATCTGAGAACATTATTATGAGAACATTTTATCATTTTTCATATTAAAAACAGTTTTTTATTTCAAGTAATTAAAATGCAAATGTTTTAAACATAAGCTTAGAAATTAGAAACTAGGTAAACATATATCTCTAAACACAGGTATGATAACCTAGAAGCTAGGAAACTTGATTGGCCTTTTCTATGGTTGTAGCATGATGGAACTTGTAAATATATAAACTTTTATTTGTGATTTCTGAATTATTTTGACTAAAAATTATAAAGAAAAATGCTTTGTCTTCAGTTTCCAACGTCAAATACATTCTGTTGGGTAATTTTCAACTGTTTTATTTTAGGTTTTTAGAAACTTCCTTTGTAAAAGGAGCACCCCTGTACTTTAGTGTGTTTAGTTCCACTTATTCAGGCATATTGCTGAATAATAATCTAGTCAAGCCTTTTAAAGTAATTTGGATAAAGTATACAAGGTAAAATATTGTTCTAATTAAAAGATCTCTTTTTGAAATGAGAAATGTAAGTGTTGAGTTTATCAAAGTGGCTTAGGCTCATATTATATATAGCTCCAAAATTCAACTGTAAGTGTAGTGGATTGATAGATGCCACAGTTCTTTGCCATAAACCAATAGTTTAAAAAAAAAAAACATGTATTTAATTATAGTACAGCTTTAAATAAAATGCTATAATTTGGTGGTGCTTCCGGACTTCAATTGACTTGAATAGAAAAAATTTTGTTAACTTTTATTATTATTAAAATGGCATGCCTCGGAATGCATTCACAATGTTGTTTTAACTGAGATTAATTTGATGATTATATATTTCGTACCTTGATTTCTCTAGGATCCTACTATCTTATGTAATACTAAACTTATTGAAATTCTTTGATAATTGTATGATGATATAGCTAATGAATACTCTCCCAAAGTAGAATTTTTAACTCAGTTGTAACTAGTAGAAATATATTTGCATCAAACATAAATATTAAACACTTTAAATTATCCTGAAGGTCCCTATCTTCTTTAAAAAGAGCATTTCAAAAATCTTATGTTGACTGTCCTATTATTTTCTTAAAAATACATTTTTTTTCCACTTGACCACATATGAATGTATATTTTTTTATTTGGAGGTAAAATGTTACATTAAGGTCATATGGCAGGATTAGCATATGATATTATACAGTCCTCCTAGTTTTTCATCCTTTATTAACAGTCATCTTTGGCTCTATTTCTCCTCTAATTGGAACATCATCTAGCCTTGGCAGTTGAACTATTCAATAGAACGATTAAATTTTTCTGACTGCTCTGAGCTGAATTGACCTGTTTTGACCTGTTTGTCACTGATCGTAACCTGACAGGCGCTAGCAGCCTGCAACGATTATGGCTTTTTGAGATGAATCTGACGTCGTGTTCTTTTGCTACAGCTCGTCACATGAGGAGACTGGGGCCTCTCACACTCTCTATGGCCATGGAGTTTGCAAATGGCCAGGCTGTGAAAGCATTTGTGAAGATTTTGGACAGTTTTTAAAGTAGGTTTTCCACTTTTTTGGGGAGAGGGGAGTGAGCCATATGGGAGTTTTAGGCACATTATTGTAAATAAACAAAAGATGAAGAAGAGAAGTAAAGGTTCCTCATATGTCATACTGTAAGTTTTCTGCATGTTCCAACAAGTGGATTACTAAAGTCAGGTTATAAAGGTGAACACTTCACCTTCATCTGTTCATGAAAATCTTTTATAAATCATTAGTGTTAATAGCTGTCACTAATCATTGAGAGGCATGTTTCTAAGGTAGGATTCTCTTAAATGTCAACATTCTACTAATAATTTCAGGTAATATGTGAGTATATATATAAATATGTTTTACATATACTAATACATATATATATATGTATATACATATA